CCCACCAAAGGAAGAAGGCGAGAGAAATAAAACCAAGCAAAGAAAGGCATCTATCAAAAGCTTGCAAAGGCGCCATCATCCGCCTCGGCCAAAAGAAACGATCTCTGCTTCTGAACATTTGCCCAAAGGCTTGGAACCACCATCTTCATTTGGCCGAGGCAGACATCTCAGCTAAGCGTCTGGTGTGAGCAGGATGCATCTCACTGCACTCACAGTAGGCCCAGCAGCAGTGCCAGCAGTAGCTGTAGCAGCACGTAGAGGCCCACCTTGCTTGGTTGCGTTGTCAGCATGGAATGAGCAAATGACCCTTACAGGCGTCACTAGATTTCCCCTGCAAAAGTTGCAGTTTACCGGTGGGTTCCAACAAAATTGCCACTTTTGGAGGTCCAACAAATAGGACGGTCGACGGAACCTCATGTAATGTGTCTTTTTTTACGGGAACCCCAAAATGGTGGTTTCCCTTTTGGTGTCCCTTTAAAACAGCCAAAAGAGGGTAGCCTCAAGACAAGACGCACCGAAATCCTTCCCCTTTCTGGGTTACATGTAATCAAACCCGTGATGCTAAAAGCTTCGGAGAAGCCCAAACACTTGGCCCAAAAGCTTGCAGCTACTGAACCCGGGACCCTGCACGCAGAAAAGAAACCTGCACTCTGCCCGACTGGGTCCTCCAGTAGAGAGGTTAGAATAAGGGTACCCTTTTCTCTGTAGTCTATTTTAGAAGGAGAACCCTCCCAACCCAAAAGGTTGGTAAAAGGGCACCTAGCTGGGGGACGTAGCCGAGTACGAGAGGGCATATTTTTGTGCGGAAAACAAGAAGAGACCAGGCTTGCACCCTGCCACCAGCGGAAGTGCGCAGGCAAACTAGCCTCGAGCCACGGGGGTGCCACGTGTCTCCAGGGTACATCCCTTCACCGCATGCTGTTGCCCGCGTTTAGGGCAAAGGAATGGGGAAGCGCAAGGAAGACACTGGTGGGATGTCTGCACGCAGGGAGGCAAAGGCACATTTCAGCATCGAAAGGGATAACGCAGGATGCAGGATCAACGCACTTCTATACCTGATGGACAATACTAGCAGTGAATGGCTGATTTAGTGAGGGATGACTACACAATCTCCCCTATTTTTCCCATTCGGGGTGGCAACTTTTGCAAGACTCCTCTGAAAAATTGACATAGAACTCATATAGAACCCTCTTTTGGGAAATCTGTTCGGGGTCTCAAAGCCATTCTAGGGCTTGATTCCCCATTCTTTTCAACCATCCTTCTTTCCAAACACCGGAAGGTACCTGAAACCATGGGGAGTTTGGTGGTTCCATCAGAGTCCGGTCCATTCCATTCCATTCTCCGCCCGCTTCGCCGAAGCCACGCGGTGACCCTGGACCTCGGCAGAAGCCGACCGCCGACGTCTCGCTCTAATCGAGCCGCGGAGAAAAATACGTATGCGCGTCGCCCCACAAAGGCGACGTGTTGGTCTCTTCTTCTTTAGGGGACTATGTAGTTTTCCTTTTGGTGTCCCTGTAACGCCTACCAACCCCGCAAAAAAAAACAAAAAAACAAACACCTGGATAGTTGGGCGCTCTCTCGTGCATGCGGTCTTGCCTTCTGATGGTGCATGGTTGTGGGAAATAAACGTTTCCGGGGATACCAAATCGGTACGCTCGTCCCTATGGCGACTTTGTCACCTACACTAAAACCCGAAGCTTTCCACGGCGATGACACCATTCAGAGATGGCCATGACTAAACACGGGGGAAATCCGCGTAGAAGCACAACAAAAACTCGTCGCAGACACAAATGCACAAACACAAATGCACAAACTCTGCCTGAGTGGGTTGGCCAAGAAAAGTCTAAACGTTTTGTTCGCCACTCAAATGAATGGCAAACAGTTTAAAGTCATTTCTGAACAAAAATGGAATGAAAGGCACCAGTCATGACTCCACCACTTGCTTAAGAGACAGTTCTGTCGATTCCTGGCGGTGGCACTAAGTGGTACCATTTTTTGGGCCCCTTGGCTGGAAACAAAGACCAAAGCCTGCGTAACCCCGGCTCCTTCATTTTGAGCCACGCCCTCCCGACCTGTTTGTGCCAAGCCAAAAGGTAGATCGGGGTCCACTCCCGGACGCCCGAATGGGCCCGGCCGTCTCAGGCGCGCGCCGACCAACGAGCGACAAATTGACAAGGCCTGGGATGCGCGAAATGGGCATTGTTCAAGCGGAAAAGCCACCAACCACAAAACAAAGGGATAGGGGTTTCTACAAAGGGCCCCTTCCGTTTTTGCAACCGAGCTCTCCAAAATAGTCACCAGACCAATGGGGCCGTTTGCACCGAAAAGGGATCAAAAGGCGATGCTCATGCAAACCAGCTGGTTCCCCGGTTAGCATAACGCAACCAACAAGTACAGTTGCAGCCTTCAACCACGTAACAGGCGGTTTGGCCCTAATGGAAAACTCACTCTGGAGACCCGGCGTCAAGCCTCCAGTCAAGAACGTCCCCTAGGAAGGAATCTCCGCTAAAGAGCCCCCTTGATAACAACCGGCCGGGGAATAGTCAGGGCTCGACTTGACAAATGGGCAAACACAGATCGGGAAAATGAGTGATCAGGAACAGGAAGAGCCAAGTATCACAAGGGTCGGTTTGGCTGTTGGTACAGCGGCCAGTACTGTCCACATAATTGCATACTGTATAAATGCATTGCATGTTACATATATAGTATGCACATGCATACACAAACACAATATACGTATACGTGCGTTTGTTTGTTCATGTCCGTGTTTATGTCCACTTGTATTTGCTTCTTTCTTTCTGTCCTTGTTTGCTTGTTTGCTTGTTTGCTTGCTTGCTGGCTGGCTGGCTTTTGCTTGCCTGCTTGCCTGCCTGCGTGCTTGCTTGCTTGTTTGCGTGCCTGCTTACTTGCCGATTCTCTGTGTTTCTGTGTGCGCGCGCGTTTGTCTGTATATGTTTGCATTTTTGAGATAATGCCTTCATTCGGCTTTGATTCAAGATGCTCAAAGCGCTATTTAAACATAAACTCACAACCAATTTCCAACAAATCATGGAAGTGGACCGGGGGCTTTTTGGACAAAGGAACGCCTTCAAGAGATGCGCAGATTATGTCCAACACTTCCGATGGCTGAAGCTCGATTCTCGACTTGGGGCCCGGGCGATGCGGAGTTCATTGCGGCCATCATGATGGATTGGGATGTCCTGACCAATGCGACGCCAGTGGAAAGGCCCCATACTCGTGTGCGCTCCAACCCTGGACCGGACTTAGACCTCTAACCTAGGTCCAGTAGAGAGGATAGAAGAAGGGTACCCGAATTTTTCTCTGTAGTCTGTGTTAGTAGGGGAACCCTCCCAACCAAAACGGGGTGAGAAAGGGCACTACTGTGGGACCTAGGAAAAGGAAGGAACATCAGAAAGGCGACCAGCTAAAACGGCAAGCTACGCCTGACAGCGAACTTGGTACAGAAAGGCAAGCCAGGCATGAGCCACAAAACACATCCGCTACCATCACTCTTAATCCAGCACTTCAACTGAACATCTTCCATTTTGTTAAGGCCCCTGGAAATAAAAATAAAAACAAATATGTCCAGTAGTGATAATTTCCTTTTAAACCCAACAAGGGAAAATCATAAATATTCTTAAGCAAATGGAAGATATGGCTCCAGCCGCAGAAGGCGAGTCGCCTACAACGCTTCGAGGCCACTTCGCCGCTCTGAGACCAGCCGCAGTCAAAGGTCAGACCTTGACTCGCCGAGTCTCGATGCTTCGCCAGTGACAAAGAATGATATAGGGCACAACAACATCTCAACATCTTCTGCAATTGGAAGGAATGCCGAGTCGAACACCAACTGCAAGTTGCAACAGCCGCTCAGGCATGCCACACAGGACTGCGTCAACGTGAATCAAAAAAAGATGCCATTCCCGGCGAGACCCACCTTCGCTTGCCAAGAATGCCGAGGGGAAGGGTCAGATGAGGAAATGGGACCCCCAAGATAGGTGCTTTTTCCTTTGGGTTCCCTTTAAAACCAACCCAAATGGTGTTCCCCTAAAAGAAGACAGACCCACTCACGACCCTCCAATAGAGCCTGCCCCAACCTCGCGCCTGCGCGCGGCAGCTGATATTTGGGGTGAGCGGCTTGAGCAAGGGAGCCGGTAGCAGAAAATGCTCAACCTGCCCTCCACCAATTTAAACATGGAACCTGACAGGGTTGAAGGGACCCCCCTGTCAGGTTCCACGTTCATTGGTGGATGATTTGTCGCCTTACAACTTAAATATAACCTGCTTACCAAGTAGATTGAATATCCGAGCATAGGAATGGCTGGAGCATCCTGCGATCTTTCAAAGTGCCATGAGTATGCCTTCATTATCCTTAGCTGTCAATTCTCCGAAATCAGCTCGGCTTCGCCTCCCTAATTGACGTGTTGGTGGTCATGGCGGCCTCCAAACAAAAAACGGAGCCGGCTGCATGTCCAGTCGCACTGGGCACCTTTTCCAAGCACTCGCCACTAAGCGGTGACTCGGGACTCAGATTTTGGCGACCGCTGTGTGAAACCAGCCGCAGACCCGCAGACCTTTGGCAGGCTCCAAGGGCTTGGGTGACTCTCGAAAGGGAACCCCAAAGCGGTTGGCTTCTCTTTTTGTGTCCTTCTACCAAAAAAGGGAACAACGGTTGCCCGGATTCTCCGGCAAAGAAGGGGCAACATCCTAACCCCGAAAATCGAGTTGGAGCCAAGCCCCTCTGTTTCCTTTACTCACTTCCTGAGTGGATTGGCCCCAAAAGAAGTCGCCAAGCTTTGTGCCTAGGTCCTCCAGGAGAGAGGTTAGAATAAGGGGAATTATTTATCCTTCTTTCTGCAGTCCACTTTAGTAGGGAAACCCTCCCCTACCCAAAAAAGTTGGGAGAGAAGGGCACCTGGCTGGGGGACCTAGTTGCTCACCACTAAAATGGTCCAACCGGCCGAGTCCCGCAACTCGGGGAGTGCGGCCGCTACCGGCTCGCGTTAGCCCAGCAGCTGCCGAGGCAGAAGGTTCACCTGGGCTGTTCGTCCAAAAAGCCGGGGGGGGGGGGGGGCTCAGAGCAAAAGGCACCTTTTTCAGGAGTCGTGAACCGTGGCTTATGGTTTTGGGCGGCCGCAAAACGGCTTCTGTTGAGAATTTGGATAGATGTGGCGCTCGAGCGAATGCGAATCCTGCTTACTCAACTGGAAGCGGCATTTGTGGATCTCACTCAGTGGCGAACTGACCTCTCTGCAAGTTTGCCCTGGAAGGTTCCTGGGCCATACCAGTCTCGTCTGTTGCTGCCATTTGCTGAGCCCAAGAATTAAAAAAACAAAAAGCGCAGCGTAGCCGTGCCTGTCAGAATCCAAGGGACGTTCCTGACGACGTCCCAACAATGGCAAGTGGATCGCTCTAGAAAGTGTACGTATATCTTTTGGACTGGAATTACTGCTTACTAACCAGAATGAAAGATCTTGCAACGAGAGTATCGGCATTCCTCATGTGATGGAGGGGTATTGTATACCAACCCCAAAATCGAAACCAAAGGCGTGCGATTCTAGCAGCCGGCACTTTTGTCTGTCAGCTGGTTGAAATTCAGTGGATTCCACGGGCTTCTGGTTCTAATCATTCGCTGCCATCCAGCGAAAGGAGATAGATCAGATCGGGATGGCCCCCCGTCCTTCTTGAAGAGCTCAGTAAGGGAAAGCAGTGATAGACCCTGGGGCGGGGGAACTCTTTTTACCCCAAGCCAACCCCAAGAAGATCCACCTGAATGGTTGGAATGAAAACGGTGAAGCTGTCCAGCGAACACATAAGCATAATCCACAATGGGAGCCACAGGATGAAGCTAGGTCCTCCAGTGGAGAGGTTACAATTAAGGGTACCAGCTTTTTTTTCTGTAGTCTATTTTAGTAGGGGAACCCTCCCAACCAAAAAAGGGGTGAGAAAGGGCACCTAGCTGGGGGTCCTAGATGAAGGCGCTGATTTTGAACAGTCCAACTGGGTGGCCTTGAACTCCGGTTGAATTCCCTCAAGAGAAAAAGCGGGGCTTGCCTCAAGATGAGGAATCGGATTGTCCCAAATCGGTGGTCCGTCCTTTTGGGTTTCTCTTTAAACCAACCTCGAAAAGGGCAACCGCAATGAAGGACATCTCCAAGACATACTGCGGGCACTGCTTGCATACTTTATCCAAACGAACACACCCATTGCGTTGTTTCTTTTTTTTGGAGTGACCCCCAAACCGTGTTTTTCCTTTTGGCTTCCCTTTGAAACCTACTAAAACTGAAAGAAGAACAACAAACGACGGGCCCATTTAGGTATGGCTCAAATTAAACCGGCAGGGGACCACAGATTTGAGTCCTTGTTTCCATTTACCAGGGCAGCCCCTTTTGGGGTTGCCCTAGTGTTCTTGCTGGTGCTCAGCAGGGAATGAGGAATGACCAAGAGAAACACCATCCGCTTGTGGCTTCCTTTAAGGGAATGCCCAAAGAGCACCCGGACTCGGTCATTCCCTACCTATAGCACCAGCAAGTTTTGACAAGCACGCCCATTTTGTAAGGGTCAGAAGGAGACTCCAGGTACCAAAAAGCCACCCCGTCATTTTGGGTAACGACAAACCATCTTTTAAGGGCCATGGAGACTCCAGATACCAAAAAACAACTTGACCATTCCCTTTAACACCTACCAAAAACCCGGCCAGGAACCCACTCCGAAAAAACATCGCACCGATGTCACCCCAAGGCTTGGGGCAATCTGCGTCCAAGACGCGAAGGCCGCGCTCACGGCTTTGGCGGCGCGGGTCACTGGACACCTGGCGACAGGGGAGACGGGAGAGGTTGCCTGGGCTGCCCGTTTTGGGCTACGTTTAAAGGGAAGCCCAAGGGGAAAGCCGAAATCCGCATTTTCTTGGGTCACCAACTTTAAGACACTGAAAAAAACACACACCTCCCACGAAGTTGAAGGTGCCTTGGATCCAGTGATCCAACGCAACTGATGAACATGGTTGCCAATTTGGAGCAGCCAACAAATTTCTCTTCGGAGATTCCAAGGGAGCGGGTGGCTCTAGGGGTTGATTCCCCCATTCTTTTCAACCATCGTTCTTTTCAAAAACCACCTGTTTCCCAGGTTTTTTAAAAAGGTTTGCTGGAAAGATCCGGATCCCTGGGCGAATGAAGAGGCTTCAACTAGAGTGGCCGCGGCTGAGTGCCTCCGGCGGTGAAAAATCGGTTTTCTGCGTCCAATTCCTTGGACCCACCGCTTGTGACCTCTCAAGTCCCAAGAGCCCCCAAAGCCAAAGGGAAGCCAGGGGGAAAACCCACCCATTCAGAATCCCCCCAAAAAAAAGAAGACATACCCATCTAGGTCCCAGTAGAGAGGTTAGAACAAGGATACCCAATATTTTTTTCGGGGGTCTAGTTTAGTAGGGGAACCCTCCCCCAAAAAAGGGCACTACTGGAAAACCTAGCCAATGCAGTTGGTTGAACACAATGAACCATTTGGGTGTATTTTCTGCAGCGCTTCCGCAAAGTCTGGATGGTTGTGTTTGCCCCCAACATGTTGAGGTCAAAACCATTTGCCCACAAAAATCTTTGGAGGGATGCCTTGACTTTTCGCGTCAGAAGCGACGCCGCCTTGACTCCCGTGGTTTCGAGGACGGAGCGGTGTCGCCAAGGGCGTCCTCGTCCTCGTCCTCGAGGACTGGCCTGTCACGCGTGCCGTGTGCGGGGACAAGTCGATGGGTTTAAAGGAAACCAAAAGAGAACCGGCCATTTGCGGTTTCGCCCAGTAGAAAAAATAAGAATATTCCCAGTAGTGATAGATTCCCCTTAAAACCAACAGGGGGGGAAAAAGTAAGAATATTCTTAAGCAAATGGAAGTAACTATCCCTTTTGGATCCCCAAAATGGATGACAACTACCCCAAATGTTGACAACAGCTTTGGAGTCGCATGTTGAGTGCTGCTAATTTTCAGGGGACCTCAGAATTCCAACTAACAACAGGAAGCACGGAAATGCGAAGGGGGGGATCAGACATGACCGAGACATCTGGGCCTTAGCTGATGATCCCATCCAAACAACTCAGTATCTCTCGGCGCGTGACTGACTCGACACTTTGGTCAGAGCATGCGCCCCTTAAACAACCTAGGTCCTCCAGTAGAGAGGTTAGAATCAGGGCACCCGATTTTTTATGTAGTCTATTTCAGTAGGGGAACCCTCCCAACCAGAAAGGAAACGGTAAACGGGCACTACTGGGGGACCTAGTAACGCATAGGCCACACAGCTCTTAACCAAAAGGATCCGCATCCGGCAACCATCTCCTTCAGCGAATGGGTGGCTCAGCCATGGAAGTGACCCATAGCCTGCAAGGGCATGCAGCCTTTTTACATGGACGGGAAACAATAGGGCTTTAGGACCAACACGGGCGTGTTTATTTGGGCCTTCTGTTTTCCTTTAGAAACTGTTTCACACTATTTACAAAACATGAGGAAGCCATTTGAAACTATTTATAGAAGGCCAGAAAACTATTCGAGACTATTCCAAACAAATTACCAATATTCTACAACCGTGTTTGCTGAGAGCTAGGTTCAGAGCAACCTGTTTTCGGTTGAGAAACATCTTTTGCGGCTAAACCCCCTACAACCAATAAAAGACGCGACAAACCGAACACCGCTCTGGAGGATTCCGCAGAAAAAGCGGTGCCACCCCCACTTTACCCCTGGTAAAGGCAAGGGGACCCGGGCAAAGCAAAAGCAGCATCATAGTACGGAAAACCGATGGAAAGTTGAGACAAAGAGCGAGAAGCCGGGTTTTTGGGGTTTCCTGAAAAAAAAGTGGTCCAGGCAGGGAATTCGGCACACTCTTGGGTTTCTGGTAAATACTTGGGGACTTGGCCGATCTCTTGCTAGACAAAAATACTTGGCCGATCTCTGGCTAGACAAAACGTGTCTGGCAAATACTTGGCCAATCTCTTGCTAGGAAAAAAAAGAGAGCAACAACAACTGTAGAAAGTTTAAATCAATCTTCATGTAGCCAAAATTCGTGTTTAACAACTGCAGCAAGGTTACTGTAGCTGGCTTGTTTCCATGATGAAAAACCGCTACTCCACGATTACCCTCCCGCAGACTAACATGGAAGCTCCCGCCTTGGTTCCATGTAGAGATGCCTTCTGGGAGCTTTCGTGTTAGTCTGAGGGAGTATAAAACCAACACAACCAGCTTTCTAGGGTACCTGCAGGGATCATTCTTTTCAGGAAACCATCAAAAACCCCGGGAAAACAGCCTGTTTTTAAAAAGAACAATGGTGGAAAAGAATGGAACCGGAATCAACCCCTAGAACTGTGGCCAGTTTACTCCACGATTAACACAATCAGCTCGCAGCTCAACCGCCCGCTTCGCTTCGCCCGCGCGCCGGGTGGGCAGCACTCGAGCAAAGGGCCCAGCCTCAAGAGATTGCCATCGCGGTTTAGTTCCCCACCCCGCAGGGCGACAAGAAAAACACCCTTCGTGCTGTGTTTGTTGCTTTTGCTTTTAATATAAACCTTGGGTTAGGGAATTTGTGGCGTTTTTGTTCATATCTCTTTTTTTAAAAGCAAATATTGCTTTTTGTGGTTGGTTCTGTTAATATGGCTGTGGCCCAAAACATAATCACCACAATTGCTCCTTGGGAAATGGAACCGAAGACTCCCTGCGTAACCTTGGCTCTTTTATGTTGAGCCACACCCATATAAAAACCTTGGGTTGGGTTTTGCATGAAGGCAACATACAACCCAATGCGGTTTATAGAACCAATTGAACGAACAACCGGTAAAACAAAAAAAAAACGGCTCTGAATGGATGCTCCACGTCGCGGACGTGAGTTTGGGTGGGATTGATGTCCGCCAACCATTTGGGACGGATTGTCTCTTCAAAACTTAAAGCCACATGATTGCAAGCGAGCCACTTCCAACCTCGAAAGCTTGGTGAAACATTGCCTCCATTTGCTTTATTATGTCCCCTGGATTGTTGTCTAACATATTTCCAGTAGCGATAGAATCCCTTTACAAACCAGGGAAAAACAACAGCAACATATTCTTCAGCACATGGCAGGCAGTTCTCCCGCCACCTCCGCTCCGGGTTCGAACCCCTGTCTGGGCATGGCACGAAGTGGTCGTAGTCCTTAGGCCCGGACATGTCGGGCTCAGCTTTTTGTCAGCCGAAGGACGAAACAAATCAACATACGGTTGAAGCCATGACCGGATTCATGGACCAACTAGAGAAAAAGGGAATCCTGTTGGAGCCATGACCGGATTCGTGGACCAACTAGAGAAAAAGGGAATCCTGTTGGAGCTAGAGAAAAAGGGAATCCTGTTGGAGCCATGACCGGGTTCATGGACCAACTAGAGAAAAAGGGAATCCTGTTGGAGCCATGACCGGATTCGTGGACCAACTAGAGAAAGAGGGAATCCTGTTGGAGCCATGAGCGGATTCATGGACCAACTAGAAAAAAAGGGAATCCTGTTGGAGCCATGACCGGATTCATGGCCCAATTAGAGAAAAAGGGAATCCTGTTGGAGCCATGACCGGATTCATGGACCAACTAGGGGAAAAGGGAATCCTGTTGGAGCCATGACCGGATTCATGGACCAACTAGAGAAAAAGGGAATCCTGTTGGAGCCATGACCGGATTCATGGACCAACTAGAGAAAAAGGGAATCCAGTTGGAGCCATGACCGGATTCATGGACCAACTAAAGAAAAAGGGAATCCTGTTGGAGCGGACCGGATTCATGGACCAACTAGGGGAAAAGGACACAGGTCAAACACAGGACCGGAAACAACAGGGGAACCCGCCCGACTAACATGGAAGCTCCCAAGAGCCCTTTGGAAGACTTGGGTCGATTTGCAGAAGGCTTCTGGGAGCTTCCATGTTAGTCTGAGGGAGTGAATCCTGTTGTTATGATGGGATTCATGGACCAACTAAAAGGAAACAGGTCAAAAGGTCGATTTCGAAGAACTGAGTTTTGCGGGGCTAGCAGCCCTGACACTCAAAAAGTGTGTGCTTGTGTGACCGAAATCCCAAAAGCGGTGTCTACTCAAATTTGGTATCACAACTTGGGAGAATTAGGGACCCTTGTAGGTTTGAACGGCCCATTTTAGTGGTACACCAACAAGAAACCAACCATTTGAGGGAGAGGAGGAGTCCAAGTTTCCGAATGGTTTGGACAAACGAACAAGCGGGGATACGGAAGGAGTGGGGATATGGGGGATTCCCTTGTCAAACTTAGTCAAGGTGCATTTCGGGGGGAATCCTCCCGTATCCCTGGTTCCCCCTGTATCCCTGCTAGTTGGTTTCCCTGCATGGTTTTCCATACATTGGCCCAGGGGCTGGCCTTGGTACAACCTCAGCAAAAGACAAGAAGCGGCTCACCACCGAGCTGGCACCTGTTGGCTCTTGTTGAAGGTCCAGCTTGAAGCATCCCAGTTTGCAATTGAGCCCTGACCTCAATCCCTTTGGCTGACTGCTGATATGGTGATATGGTTGGTACCCCCCCCCGTTTTGGTAGGTGTTAAAGGGAAGCCAGAGGGAAAACCCACCCATTCAGGGTCCCCCCCAAAGACATACCCATCGGCTGCCGAGAGTCCACTGGGTTGTAGGGAGCATCCCGAAGCTTGCCAACCTCAGACGCTTCAGTTCCTTCGCTTGGGTTCAGGGGCGCCTGAAAGCGAAACGTTTCGAACGACCTCCCCAGGTCGCAATTCTACAAACAAGTCAGCCTCTTTCTGCGAGTGTTGCTGTTTGAGGCGACCTGATGAAGGCATAAGCGGAACTAAATCACAACATGGCTCATGCTGTTTCCTGGCCGCAGCCGGCAAACAATGCCAGCCGTTGTCCACCGTTGGAAAGCTTGCAGGATGATCCAGGACTCTCGCAACGATCAAATATGGAAATATGGACGGAATCGGTAAACCATTGCGCTTCCCTGTGCTGTTGCTCATTCTGGAAGCAGCGTTGGTACCCAGCCATGAAACGAATCATGAACAAAAAAGAGAGGGGGGTCAAACAAATATTGGGGGGGTCAAAAAAAAGGGGAGCCCATGAACAATTGGACAGATTTTGAAAGGACTTGGGTCGGCCCATGTCCTTCCCATCCCAAACGGCTGGTCCAATGGCCCACCGAGGAATCTCTTCTCTCTGTGCCGGCGACCACCGGATACTTCTTGATGTAGGTCTCCCAATATGTCCTTGGCAATCAGTCACACACAGCACTCCTCGGATGTCGAGAATTTGTCTAGGTCCAAGAGGTTACAATAAGGGTTCTCTTTTTTCTGTAGTCTACTCTAGTAGGGGACCCTCCCCCAAAAAAAGGGTAAAAGGGCACATAAAGCTCCTTGTTGCTCCCTTTGAAACCATGTCTGGGAAGCCCAGCGCGAAACCAGGATCCCAAATACGGACAACACTGTGTGACTTCCAGCAGACCGCAGACACCAAATGTGGCACCCGAGTTTCTGACTCGTAACCCTTTACCCCTTGGCGCACAATGTGTTGCCAGCAGGAAAACAAGGCATGTCTCACGGTCACGTGCTCTGTTTACCGCCAGCATGCCCTTCATACACATATTTGAGAGTACAAACTTCACATTATCAGCCTCTTTCACCTTCAATGAATTTGCCCCCTCCCCCCCCCTACAAAAACAGAATCCTCATAGCGTCTGCAAAGCCCCTCTGCTCCGTCCCTGTCTGTTGCACGGGGGAAGGCAGCCCTTCATATTAGTTGCCATTTGATATCCACCCACGAACCACGGCCTCTGGTAGACACTATACTTCACGCGCCTGAACTCAGGAATCCGCTGCTACGGAACCTTCTCGGGTTTTCTGCCACAGGCCAACCCTCCTTGCTGAGTCCGCGAGACTCTCCTCCGTCCCGCTGCTCCGGTGCATGGACACAGGTCTATGCAACCTCCATCTCGGGCGCTTGTCCTCAAAAACTTGACCAGGTCCTCCGGTGTTCTAAGGGTACCCCTTTTTCGGTAGTCTATTTTAGCAGGGGAACCCTCCCCCAAAAACGGGGTTAAGAAGGGCACTACTGGGGGACCTAGTTGCATCCCGTTTAGGTTGTCGATGGTATCGGTTCTCCAGGGGCTGTCTGCAACGCTTAAGACCCCAGCCGCCTTCGATGCTCAGAGGCCCTGGCCGATTCAGGTGCCGCAGCTGCATCTCGCTCAGCCCGTCCAGGCCTTAAAAACCCATGGGCGCGCGCCTGAAACCCGAAACCAAGAAGACACGCCACGCCTGGAATCACAACCCAAAGCTGAGCCTGGAAAAAAAAAGAGAGAACAAAAACAACAGGAGCGCCCCTTTGGCTGGTAGCTGATTCAAGGGGAGAGAAGGGCAACAGGATCCTGTCGCACCCCCGCCACTTCCAGGAAAGCTTCTTAGGATCTTCTCAGAATAAGTCTTTAGCAGGGTTCCGCGAACTTTTCCTTCTGGGGCGGGGGCGGTTCCGAATGACAATGACTCTCTTCCTGAGCCATGGCCCCTGAAACGGTTGGAGAACGCCTTGAGCGAACTGCCCCCAGTTCCGGCAATGGGTGGGACTTGCCGTCGGCCAGGAGGGTGCCCAGTGCTGGTGGCTCCAACACAATTGGGGCGACCTTTTTCCTCCCCGTGCTTCCACACAGCGAGCATTTGAGCTGCAACCGGTGGCCTGCAACAAACGGTTTTAAATGAGCCAGTTTGACCCACGCCGAAGCTGTCGGTTTCCCCCAGCAGGCAGAACTCCCTCAGGCACTTGCCGCGGTCGAGCATCTCCACCTGCCAGCTGCCCATCCCCCAATGATCCGCCCTCAGGGCCTCTTGAGAATTTGACAGCACATGGAACATTCCAAGTGGTCCATTCCCCTGGGCCCAGTGCCAGGAAACTGGTGGCTGTTTCCCCCTCAGATCCCCCGCTCCAAGTGACTAACTCTTAGTGGGTTAAATGGAAAGTACCACTGGATGGCTAGGAGCCACCAAGTCATCACATCTCTGGGCACAGACCAACCGCACCAAGCCCTGCCTGCCGCTTGGTGAGGGCGAAAGCACGGGAGCAATCGTGTCCTGGAGAGAGAGAAAGCAGCGTGCCGCTCAACGAAGTACGCCGAAAACAGTGTTCACGTGTCGTGCACATGGGGGTTGAACTTATTTTCCCTTCGGCCCCCCCCATATTTTTCACCATGGATACCTTTGCCTCTTTTTGGTTGACAAAAATCACATGTTTTGCCGAATTGTCCAACCAATGGTCATCCTATTGTTTTTTTTTTTTTTTTCATTTTTTCTCAGACCTTTTGAACACCATGGGAATGTGCCCAGGAATCTCTCCAATGGTTGCGTCTTACACACCAGACGGGGGTTTTGGTCATGTGGCCTTCGGGGGCTGCGGTTTTTTGGTGGTGTTTCTAGGGGTTGATTCCCATTATTTTCAACCATCCTTCTTTTCAAAAAAATACGGCTCTTTCCCCTGGTTTTTTGATGGTTTCCTGAAAAGAAGGATCCACCTGGAAATAATGGGGAAAGTAGCCCTAGAGTGTTACGATAGTCACAATCAAAACCCAGAAAACCCAGTATATAAATGGTCGATCCCCAGAACCCATGCTTCAAGAATTAAGAAGGCGGCTCTCCGCTGTTTCTGGCTGTTGTCCCTTAACCTTCATCTACCCGGGTTTGGTTTGTGGCTCACAAGAGCTTCTTCTCGGGACACCCCGTATCGACGATATGAATCCTCAAGCCACCCCTCGCACCAAACTCCGGCGACTCGGGAGGTTGGAAGGTTGGTGAGGTCGTTTGTAGAGGGGCGATTCGAGCTTCCAGAATCCGACTTACTCAGACCAAGGAAACTCCTCTTGACAAACTTGTTTGGGTTATGCGACATTTGCATGGATCTTCAATTAATAAGGTAGCCTTCTGTCCCTTGGTGCCCAATAGTTATGGTTTCGAGCTAGGTTCCAGGGAATGTCAATTCCAGTTTCCTTAAATCCGCAAACATGAGGTAATTGGACCCCTTGGGATAGCGGCGAGCTCCAGTTACTGGACATTGACGAAACATCCACTTGCCATTTTGTTGGTGGCTCACCTGCCCGGATAGCAACGAACATCTGCCAAGTGACTTTGATTCTGCCCTTGCATCAACTAAACACTGTAGGTTCTCACGAGGAGGAATTCCTGTCTAAGATGCCCAACCCTTGCATCGGTCTTGGGCGCAAGAATGGAGTCTTTCCGAACGTGACAGCTTGACCTCGCGCCCGAACTACGAAGTGGCTGCATGAAACTGGGCTTGTCGACACCTCCCGATTGTTCGTTCCTGTTCTCAATAACTTGCTGGTGCTCACCAGGGAATGACCTTCTGGGAATTGGGAATGAGCCGTTTAGGGGTTTCCCTTAAAGGACGCCATAGAGCCTGTTTTATAGGGGTCATTCACTCATTCCCTGCTGAGAAGCAAGATAAGTTCCTGTTCAGTGCATGCTGAGGGTCTTTGAACCCAGCCTATCCATGAAGCCCCTCAAAAGCGCTGGACTTGAAGCGAATCCCCGATTTCAGTCGCTGAACCCAGACGCTCAAAGGCTCCGATTTCTGGAAATAGCCAAGTGCCCTCAACCGCCTTTTGAAGGCAAAAACCCCACGAAAACCAATCGGTCCTCCAGTAGAGAGCTTGGAATAAGGGTACCCACTTTTTTGCGGTAGTCTTTAGTCATTAGTAGAAGAACCCTCCCCCAAAAAAGAAACGGTAAAAGGGCACTACTGGGGGACCCAGGTCAAACCAATCGGGAATTATGCACCGGCGCCTGCAAAGAGTCGATAGCTTTCGCCCTCACCGTAGAAGTCCTGGCAGTTTTTGCTTTTTGGCGAGAAAGGGAGTGAGGGGGTTGGTGGAGGGTTGGGGGGTTGGGGGGGTTGGGGGGTTGGGGGGGTTGGGGGGTTGGGGGTTGGGGGTTGGGGGGGTTGGGGTTGGGGGGGGGTTGGGGGGTTGGGGGTTGGGGGTTGGGGGTTGGGGGGTTGGGGTTGGGGGGTGGGGGGGGTTGGGGGGGGGGGGGGGGGGTTGGGGGGGGGGGGGGTTGGGGGTTGGGGGTTGGGGGGTTGGGTTGGGGGTTGGGGGGTTGGGTCGGTTGGGGGGTTGGGGGGGTTGGGGGGGTCGGGGTTCGGGGGGTTGGGGGGGTTGGGGGTTGGGGGGTTGGGGGGGTTGGGGTTGGGGTGTTGGGGGCTGGCGCGTTGGGGGGTTGGGGGGGTTGGGGGGTTGGGGTTTGGGGGGGTTGGGAGGGTTGGGGGCGTTGGGGGTTGCGGGGGTTGCGGGGGTTGCGGGGGTTGCGGGGGTTGCGGGGTTGGGTGGGTTGGGGGGGGGTTGCGGGGGCCACAACCAGTCTCAAGGTCTAAACCCTGCAACTTCCGGGGAAATATGGCTGTGTTCGGAACCCACACTTGCGCTCTTTCTATTCGTCGTGTCACAGGGCTCCCAGTCTAGACACATATACACCCCCAAAACTCGCCCGCCCGCTCTCCTATCAACTTACCCCAAGTAAGGTTTGTTACATTACAGGAGAGCTCACAATACCCCCCTCCGGATCGCTATGGCAAATTCACCACTGTGGGCACAGGATGACTCTCGGCAAGTTCCCAGTCTTGCCGGAAATGACCAGTTTGCTGCTTGACCAGACGTATTCGACAGCCAAAACAAGACTCAAATGTTGGAAGCCCAACAAAATCGTCTTTTGCTGGTCTGCGGAAGAACGATGAAAACCCAAACCTCCAAAACCTGTGTCTGGCGAGGACCAGGATGGCTAAGCCAAAGCATCGACCATGACGATCTGCATGTCTCGAGAAAAGCATCACCCCCATTGCCTCAGCTCTTGCCCCCAACCAAACACAATGTGTTTAATTCTGGCCCCGTATTTAGCGAAGCTTGCAGAAACCATAAGGTCTCTCAGAGAGATCCCAGCTAAGCCAGTGTAGTGGATTCTCCCGCCCGCGCGCCGTGAACCGTGTTGTGAAACCAGGGAAGCCTCCGTGAGATCGTTATTGCTAGGAAAGCTCATCGAAATATGAACAAATCATAGGCTGGTGCAAAATAGTCACAACAACAGCATGCAAAGATACTTAGATGCAAGTGTGTCTGACTTGCTTTAAGGATAACTCTGTCTGTGGTAACTGTTACTGCATATCTAACAATGCTGAGACCAATCTTCTACACAAACGATGGGTCACGGGAAGAAATGACAAGGACAACAACATAGGTGCGAGCAGTCAGAGTAGCATTGGCCAGTTCTTGCTTTGGGCTCCTCCCTTCGGAGTCTTCCTGTCTTCTCGCCTCTCGCAACTACTCGACACTCAAGGTGTTCAGTACTCACCCACCTCTTGAACCAAGGAGGGCATGGAAACTTCCAAAGGCAGCCCATCACGCAGAAAACATCTGGCACATGCTGGTTGCAAGGTGAGCAAAATGGTCCTTGATTCAGCACATCCTTGACGTACAAAGATATTCATCGTTGCAAGCTCACAAGCGCAGATCCGGATGTATGTTGTCAACCATTCCGGGATCTTCCCGTGCCACCTTCCAAAAGCGTCCAGCGGACATGGGGAGCAAATGGGAGCATATGAGCAGATTTTAGCAATATATGTTGGGATGGCTTCCAAAGGAAGCTAACATGAGATATCATCTGCAAATTGTATTAACAATGAAACAACGGTCCCAAAACCTGTACAAATGACATTTACAGCCCCACAACCTCCACACATTTCAGAAAGATGACAAACACAAATCCATCTGCAATTCGTATTAACAAAACACAGTAGTCTCAAAACCTGTACAACTGAAAACGACAAAAACCAAATCCCAAACCCTTAAAACCTGTACAAATGAAAACAAAGCAAATCCCCAAACCCTGAAATAGGGCACCAAAATCCCCAAACCCTCAAATAGGGCACCAAAATCCTCAAACCTCCCAAAACCTGTACACATGAAAACGAACAACATCTCCAAACCCTGAAATAGGGGATCCCCAAGTAAAGGACTTCCTGGGTTCCGTTGCCTTCCCGGAGGACACATCGAAGACGCGGCCCAAAACCGCGAGCCTCGGACGAGCTGCACGACTCCAACAGGAAGACTCATGCGGGTCTGTCTCTTTGGATTTTTTAGATGCACCCCTTTTATATAATCGAGAAAAGCCGACAGACACACCACCCTTTTATTCTGTTGTTGTCTCTTTTTTTTTGGGGGGGTTCTAGACACAACCATGTGTGCAGCTTGTCTGTGGGGAGGTGGTAGGCCTCCCATTGAACCCATGCCAAACTGCCTAACTTGCCGAGTTGATTGGCAATAACATGTTCATTGATGCTAGACAAAAATGACAAAGGCAGCTGGCAGCAAACAAGTCAAAGTTTGGAAGCTGAACAGGTGCGACACCTGCGCACATGGAAGAGGACCAGGTCCGTTGAGTTCCCAAACATGGCTCAACAAGAGTGTTTCTCGAAACCGTGGACCCATGGTGACCTCCTGGTGGTTGGCATTTGCACAAGAACCAAAAGGACACCGACCGTTTTCGGAGATACCTATTTTAACATTTTGAGGGTCCCCAGATGGGCCCCTGTTCCAGACGAGTGGACAGCCCTGCAGAAAGTCATCTTGCTGCTGGAAAGGAAAAGGCACTGGTTTGACAACCCCTGGTCAAGCGGAGAAGGGGCAACAGAACGCACAAATGGCCCTAACAAAGAGAGAAAAAGAGAGAGAGAGAGAGAGAGAGGGTGCGACAGAGACAGAGACAGAGACAGAACAGGGACAGAGACAAAGAAACAAAGAAAGAAAGAAAGAAAGAAAGAAAGAAAGAAAGAAAGAAAGAAAGAAAGAAAGAAAGAAAGAAAGAAAGAAAGAAAGAAAGAGCAAGGTGGCACTGGGTGATTGTTTTGCATACATCCACACACACATTCGGGTGTTTCCCAAAATCGGGGGCCCTTTTGGGTTGGGTATAAAGGAAACCAAAAGGAACCAAACCATTTTGCGGGTCCCCTCTATTTGGAATTTCCCTTGCAAAACCCTGTTCGGGCATGTGAACTGACGAGACTTGGATACATGGTGAGCTCAGCTCTCCTCAAACTCGGCACTACCTCAACCTTTAAAGACCTCCGCAATGGTTGGCTTAAGCCTGGGGCACAAAGTTGAAGACTAAACAAGGCCGTACAGGTTGGGGCTTGGGAGGGCTGTAGGCTTCCTGATTCTAGTCCGCAAACACGATGCCGCTTGCAAAACCACATTGGCTGGGCACAGTATGGAACATACAAGGCTCACCCGCCCAAAAGGAAACCAACTTTTAGGTACCCCAACGGTGATGCTGAGATACGCCATGGGCGCCCCCTGTGAACATCTGAGGAGAAGCAAACGGGAACAAACCAACTCGACTGCCAGATCACAGATCCATCTTGGGCTCAGACAGGATTCTGTCCTCCTATCGGTTGCGATGCAAGATCAAAGCCAACTGCACCCCTGTAGATTAGCAGCCGAAAAGAACACTTCTGTAGATATGGAGCAGTCCCGTTCTGGGTCCCATCTTAGTCTGCAGGGCAGAGTCCTTTCAGCTGCTCGAGGATCGGAAACAGCCCAAAAACGTCGAGATGGTTGCCAGGGCCAATTTCCTCTAAAACCAACAGGTAAACAAAAAATACGCCTCGCCTGGAGCAAATGCACGAACCGAGTCCTTCAGCAGTCTCACAAAGCGCGCTGGTGAGAAGCTCATCCATTTTTGTAAAACCACCATAAGGCGGTGGTATTGGGTAACGGTTAGTTGCTCGGACAGCGTAAGATCTGGTCTGACCGCTCCAGCCGTCCCGTGGAAACCTCAAAAACCGTGCGACTGGAACACCACCACAACTAGTTTAGCACTTGAGCACGGGACTGCCCCGGTATGTAAGTTTGAGTGGGTTGCCCTGGAGGGGTCACTAGATTTCCCCAAAACAGTTGATCCATCTGGTGGTTGCCACTGAGACCGCCACTTTTGGAGCTTACGTCTGCACATGGACCAACTGTTGGCGAAAACGCCAAGGCCCACAGAATTCGCATTGAACCAAGTTTGGGGCTTGCAGGCTCCCTCGCTCTCAACGTAACAGTTGCCATAGTTGCCCTTAAAGGCAGGCACTTGAGTCATAACTAGGTGCTCCAGTAGAGAGGATAGAATAAGGGTACCCACTTTTTCGATAGTCTATTTTGGTAGGGGAACCCTCCCCAAAACAAGAAACGGTAAAAGGGCACCTAGCTGGGGGACCTAGTCATAGTCATTGCCTTGGGTTTCTGAGGTGGTGCAAAACGGATCTCGTCCATCACTATGGTTTGGATTGGTGGTTGTTGAGGAGGGTGTCCCAGTTGAAATAAACAAAACTGTTCGCTGCCCAACCCAAAACTATGCAAAGAACTAAGAAGGCGGCGAAGGCAGCAATTTCTGGCTGCGACTGTCCCTTACCAACCTGCAACTACCCGGCTTTTGAGCAAGTGGCTCACTTAACTCTTGGGGTCTTGGGGCTGAAGTCGGAAAAGGAAACCAACCACTGCTAGGGGTCGCACCCATATTCGGAAGCACCCATTGCTTGTTGCTTCATTTGTAGCCACCAGTCAAATACGAAGTGTGGACTCACTCCACTCTGAAGTTGTTCCTTCCATTTGCTTAAGCCCCCTGGGAACAACAAACATATTCCCAGTAGCGACAACTCCTTTGCAATCCAAAATCAGAAAATCAAAAAATACTCTTAAGCACTGGAAGTATCTCGAAGCTGCATTTCCTGCAGCCTGAGAAACAAACCATCTACCTCTACATGTCCGCCATGCCATGAGGTCGACAGGATGAGAGATATCAACAGGTGCCTCCGTTCCTTGGTTGACGCTGGAAGGGGAGCAACAATTCAAATGTTAGCAGTTAAGTGGGGATTTCCCTCTAAATCACAATAAGCAAAAATGTAAAATGCTTCCCAACAACAACCATGGTTCAGGGCTTATCCTTTGCTTCTGAAAGGGAACCCCTGCTGACTTGAATAATCCACTTGTCGGGGGTGCCTGTAACCTCAAATCCAACCTTTGGTTAACAGCCAACAAGAACCCCCTTCACCTGGCACATCCACCCTAATTGGGTTAAGAGGTCAGTCCTCCCCATAGTCAAATTGGAAACCCATAAATCGAAACGAGGTCCGGTACCCAATTCTAGAAATATCTAGTCTTCCCCAAAGGGAAATTGGAAACCCATAAATGGAGATCTCCTGGGGTCGAAACCATTTCTAAGGGACCCGCTGCAAATGGCTGCGGGTCTCTCCTCTATCCCCTGCTTCTGCAGCTCGGCTAAGCTGAAGCTCGCCTTAGTGACTCACAGTCCCATTAACTCACTGAATGAACGGCCTTCTACATCTAGGTCCTCCAGTAGAGAGGCTTTGACCAAGGGTGCTAGCTTTTTTCTGTCTATTTTAGTAGGGGAACCCTCCCACAAAAAAGTTGCCGAGAAAAACTGCACCTAGCTGGGGGACCCTTCTCAAACTCAGTGGCCTCCATGGTGGCTTCCCTGTAAACCAAAACCCCGAAAAGGGTACTAGTACGCTCAAAAAATTTGGACACAACCGTTTGGCGGACCAAAAGCACAACGGTGGAGACTGAGCCACCAGATGCATTCGCCAGTCGGGACCACTGCGCATACGCCAAATATGCTGCTTCCCTTCGAAAGTTTACTGTAGATGCCAGGTTGGTTTTGAAGGGAAAGAACGCCCACCATTTTGGGGGGGTGTCTCCTCAAAAATACAGACCCACATGCAAGAAAGTGTGTCAACTGGAGATTGAGAAGCAACTTCCTGATCCATGTCTTTCACGGATGCGAAAGAAAAAGTTTGGGAAAACTGTAGGCTTCTTTGTGAGTTCAAACCAAAAAAAGGGAAGCAACGGCGCGCAAGTACGGCCAAGGGAACACCCCAACTTTGTACAGCTTGGCAACGGTTCGGTCGCGTGCTTGCTGCAGCTTGCTGCATGCCGCTGCGTCCGCACGCAAACTTTGACTTCGCATCATTTCGGCTTGGGGAGGACGAACTACACATCTGCGTGGCATCTGAAAATTGGGAAGCCGTTTAAGACGGTGTTCGCAAACCAAAGAAACTCCTTTGCAGCAAACATACAAGGCTCCCGATTTTCGGACACGTCCGCATCTGCCAAGGATCACGAGGAAAGCGAATGCTGGAAGTGGCAGATGTATCAGTCCCTGTTCAATCCGCGTCCTTGGCTTGGGATTGGCTTGGCCGGCAGGTGGGCCCTTTTGCGCGATCAGCAAATCGCGGTGAGACAAAGGCAACATGAATTCCGGTGGCATGCCACTGCGACTAGGAGGTTTCATTGTTGCCTGGGCGCGCGCCAGCCCAGCAGAGCTACAAAGCGGGGATCTGAGCAAGGCTTTGAGGGAGAGTCCCTTCACGAGATGCGAGATGGGACACACGCCTTGCCCAAGTCGGAAGCTCCCAGTGGCCCAAGAAATTGCATTCGTAGAGCTCCAGGGAAAGACTCTCCAGTCCCAGGTTCCAGTCACCATAAACCAACTGTCGCCTCGGAACATCCCTTCACGCGACAAGTCCCTCGACCTGGGCAAGGCTTCCCAAAAACATCGGGGCACTTGTAGGAAACGCGTGAAGACCTTGAGAACGCCCGACGTGCGTCCGCATGTCGGCCGGCAAAGCAAAGCAACGGCGCGGTCTAAGGTGCGGTCTAAACTCCTTTGACCCTACCAACACAATATATATATATATATACACAGATATTTGTATATATATATATATATATATATATCTATATTTGTATATATATATATATTTATACATATATGGGGTGTCATTGTTTAGCCAGGACGAGGGCGATGATGAGGAGCGGGAACAACAGCAGAAGGACAAGGAGAACCCCTCAATGATGGTACTCCTTTTGGTTTTCCGTTAACACCATGAAACAGCAGAGTGGGGCATCCTCAAAACAAAAAGCACACACCCATATGTGTATAGTGCATTAGGTAGACATCTGACATAAATAGACAACTACTGTAGTCACTGCCATAAGTTATTCAAATCACTTAAAGTGTTCCATCACCATCCCTGCTATCCTCAAGTCAGAAGGGATATACATTCCTGCCCTCAAACAAGCAATCACTCAATATGTGTCAATATCGGGGACCCACAAATAGCGGGTGCCATTTGGCTCTCCTTTAAATCCGAAAAGGGTACCCCCCGGACAAGAAGACACAATAAACAACTCAAAATCAAACACACAGGTGCCGTCGACAACATTTGCAATACTCTCCATGGACATGGGCAAATTGGTGAGCCCCCTGCTTTGCGGGACATTTAGAGAGTCCCGCATTTCCCTCCCACATGGGCCATGGACCAATCAGAAAATGTTTGAGAGCACCTCATCTCCTAGGTCCTGCAGTAGAGAGGTTAGAATAAGGGTACCAACTTTTTTCTGTCTACTTTAGAAGGACACCCTCTCCCAAAAAAGGGCGAGAAAGGGCACTACTGGGGGACCTAGTCTCTTTCCCGAGATGCTGAGCTTCTCGATGAGGCCCTGTTGCTCCCTCTCCACTCTCTCCAGCGAGTTCAGCTGAAAGGTCAGCCTGGCCGATGGCAGAAACACGCATTGGATCTTGGGGGATCGCGTGAAAGCCATTGCTCTTGACGCAACATTGTCCGTTGCTCACACGGCCCGTGCAAAAAACACATCACACCAAAGGGAAGCTCAGCGGGGAAAAACGAGGTGCAGAAGGCGATGCTGCTTTTCACCAGGCCAAACAAGAACACCTGCGTATGGGATGTCAATCAGGCCATGCTGGTTCACCTGCTGGGAGAAATGAGATGCTTGATCTGCTTGGGTCCACGTCGTCTTTCTTGGGGTTGGTACCCCTTTTTGGTGGCTGCAAATGGAAACCAAAAGGGGAACCGTTGCACCATGTTGCAGGGCCAACCTTACAATAGACACAGCCATGCATGCAGCTCGTGGCTCTGCTGCGGGAATATCCCCCAGGGAGATTACCAGGCAGATTTGCCTGGCGCTTTGGAACAAGATAAGTCGCCTCTACATCTATCCGTGTGAAACACAGTATTCAACAATGAAATATCCAGCCCCCCCAGTAATATCGGAGTTTGGCGAGTCGCCCGCCTTTCCAAATGGCAGATTGGTAGCGTCATCCCCAAAGGTACGCGACAGCAATATGGACGGGAACCAGCGCGCTGCCCGGACTCCCAAGTTGCCGTGTGAGTACATGCTTCTACTTCGTCTGAGGCTTGTAGTGAGGCCTGTACAAGTGAAAACCAAAAGTGAAATCTGTGCCCAGGCTCCAAAACATTCTCAAAACAATGGAATGGGCCTTACGATCGATCAAAACTGGATTCCCGGGCGGGTTCCTGGAGACCTTCAAAAGAGGTTCTGGCTGATGGGCCGAGCGTTTATTTAGGGATCTATTCAATTGCATCACAAATAACACAACCTTTTCATGGCAAAACTGGCCTCTAAGCTTACTTCCGTTCGGGTTTTCAGGAAGTGACCTTGGCACAGGTGTCCTTTTTAGAAAATAGATGGCCCTGGTAGATGATTGAACCACCAGGCAAACCAGGGCCCTCTATTTTCCGGTCACGGGGTCGTCTGTGCATTCAATCCTGGTGTCGTCTGTGCATTCAATCCTGGGGTCGTTTGTGCATTCATTGTTTTTTGGGCTCACAGGCATGATAATGGACTCGATGTGTGGTCACATGTGTCGTGATAAGTGTGCATGCTTCTTGGAACGTGTTCTTTGTCGGCGGTTAGCCAGAGGTCCACCCAATGTTCAAATGTCGTTTTGAGGAGAAACAACATGTCCGTGGCTCAAATCAAGCCAATAACTTGCTGCCCTGTGGACCATATCTGAAGGAAATCTTCACACTTGAACATGTGTGTTCTAATGGGATTCGGTGTGGTCAGTCAGTGGTGCCAGATGTCCCCTCCATCGACTTTACAGGTTCCAGAAGGAAATTATTCTGCCTGATGCCTTTAATGTTGACCCAGGGTTAATAAACCGACTGAGATGTGATGGGCGCAGCTCGGCGATAGCTCTGTCCATGGATCCTCCATCATGAAGCGACCTGCCGCCTTCAAGCGGCCATCCGCAGCCGCTGCGACGGTGAAGTCCACGGTGAAGTCCACGGTGAAGTCCAAAAAAGACATCTACACGGTGAAGTCCACGGTCGCGCACGACGGCGACCCGTGGACGGAAAAGCAGGTGGTCAGCAAGATCTCCGCGTTTGCTTGTACAGAGGAGCAATACGTGCGTGTGTCCACGAGCAAGAGGAAGCGATCTAGTGGGACGATGGACTGGAAGTTTTGGTGTATGACGTGCAGTAAGTGCACGTGGTGCGGCTGGGCATCGTATTTCCCATCTCAGAGATCGCTTTCCATCAGGGCCACGCCCACATCTTGTCATACAGATTTCAGCAAGAGTTTTGGCAGCACTGGCGTGCATCTTGTTTTTTCCGCAGATGTTGTTTACACGCAGGGGTTCTGACGGTAAGAGTTAAGGCCGGCTTAGATCGAGGTTCGCGCTCAAATCGCTGGCCCTGTGCGCAGAAAGTTGTCTTCGCCGCGACTGACTCGCGCGAAATGGAGGCGTGGGCTGACGCGTGCGTCCCGTTATGGTGCCGTTCGCATTTTTTTGCTGGCAGGAAACAGTTGGAAGGTTCGCGCTATGTTTTTTGAGGAAGCCTCGTGCCAAACGCTTTTTTTGAAGCAAAAATGCATTTTTTGCTGGCAGGGACGTGGGTACGCGCTGGTGCGTGTGAGGTTCGCGCTGTGTTTTTGATGAAGCCTCGCGCCAAAGGCGAAGCGCACTCCCGCAGCTCCGGCTACAAAATCACAAGTTTTACGTACAAAAATAGTGCGCGAAGAGCTTTCAGAGAGCTCCGGCTGCAACGTCGCAAGTTTAAAGTACAAAAATTGTGCTCGAAGTCCATTCCCGCAGCTGCGGCTCTGGCTTGAAAATCGCATTTTTTTTTACGAAAAGTAGTCAAAGCACAGCGTTGCGCGCAAGAGAAGTTGACAGGATAGGTTGTTCGAAGCGCGATGCCAAGCTTGCTCATCAGAACTTGCAGAAGCTACGAAGGGACACTGATGTGTAGATTTACGCTTGCTTCTCATCTGCAGTGGCGAGGTGTCAGGGTCTATTTAACGTCTTCGACGCTTCCGGGCCACCCGTCGTCAAATTGAACCCAATACTAATTATTTGGGGTCTCTCTGCCGGGATAATTTTAACATGAATGCAGTTTCGTGTGTTCCCATCGCCAGTTACTGCAGCTGCACTTTCGGGAGGTCGCCTTCCTTGCATATGTTTATCGTTTCAGCTAGTTGGTTCGCCATCCTCAGTGTGAATTATTGCCGAGGACGCGCTCGCAGAAAGCGCATGGGCTGACTGTACCCACGAAGAAATTGATCCGCGAGTATCTCTTGGCAAAGCAGAGTTTCCGCATTGAGCAGCTTCTCCAGGCCAACCGCACCCATGTTTTTTTATTGTGTTGCTCAAAGCCGTTTGCAGCGGTTTGGGAGTGTGTTTGGTTGTGACAGCCTAACATCAGCTGGGTAAGAAGTAAAGCTGTTACAGTTGCAGTTTGTCCGCCGCCGCTTGTTTGCAGGAGATTGCCAAAAAGCGGACTCAGCCCAAAACCCCAGCAGAAGACGCAGTTGTGAACTTTGTCAAGAACATTCGAAAGCGCGACAAAGAGGCGCGCGTCGATCCATCAGTAGTTCGGGCTGCGCGCAGTTGGTGTCGGCTCTTCTCCCTGGCTTTGTTCGATCTTGTGCTATCTGATTGCCTCACATATGTGGTTGCTCATGCAGACCGGTGCATCGATCTGTGCGGGTTCAAGACCAACGTTGCGGCCATTGGGTCGCAGCAGAGAAACCAGAACTGCTGCTCATTTCCGCGTTGTTTTTTGCCCTCAAGGCTGAAAGGCCGTTCGTGGAGTCAGGATTGTTTGGCTTTCACCAAATTAGCAAGCGCAGCAAGTTTCAGACGAGTCGGGCTGGTGTTCTTTTTTGTTACTCAAGGCATTGATTGGTTTGTTTGAGAGGGTGCAAGGTTATTTGTGATGTTATCTCCATTTGGTAAGTATGGAAAGTGTTCAGCGGTAGTACCTTGTCAGGCTCATCGCTGGAGATGGATACAGTAGCACACTAGACTAGAGGGGCGGGTGGCCGCGTATGGCCTTGCGCCAGGTCAGAGCCGGTGCTAAATGGCTATCGCAAGGCTCTTGGAACCTTGAAGACTGGGAGCTTCTGGCTGATACGTCTCCGAAGCTGGAAGAGCACGGCGGCACGGACGAGCATGACCTGTGTCTAGTTGAAGTCTTGACACCGAGTTGACGATATCATACACTTCGCCGCGGCTTCTGCGTGCCTCGTCTTCTGCCATTTGTGTGTAGACTGTGTACAAATCATGTATAAATATATATATATATATTTATTTATATATATATATTTATATATATATATATATATATTCTGGTTTGTGAGTTCGGGTTGACCGGTTGGCGCGCGGATCGGCATTTCTTTCTTGCTGAGGCCTGTGGTGGTCTCGAATGTGCAACAAGACATTTTTGAGAATCTCTGGCGACGGAGTCTTTCGAGTGGTGTTCGAGGGCCACATTTTGATATGCTTAGGGTTTCTGGCGAAATCTTGGTCTGCAGACAAATGCGACCGCGGAGAGGACAACTGGGCCACCAGCTTTCACGAAGTTATTTTCGCCATCGCAAAGACGGAGTCGCAGATATCATATACGCGAGTTATTGATGCGTTTGCCAAGGCGATGAAAATTTGCTGCGGCGTGGATGATGCTCTGGAGCGCGTTGGCCAATTTCATGTGGATTTGAGTGCGGCGGCAGCAGCGATGCACCAATCAGTGCTGCCTCACGCGCTCTTGGCTTTGGACTGGGCGCACTTTGTGGGCGCTGTGCGTCCAAAGGTGCATGCTTCACAGGCTGGGCTGGAGCCGTGGTCCTGATAATGTTCACCCCGTATTTCCCCCCCCCCTCCCGACAAGGTCAACAAGGTCTAAAAAAGAGTCCATTTTTTACTTTCCTGGCCTGCCCCTCTATATAATGTGGCTCTGTCTCAGTTTGGATTCTAGTAGGACACAGCGGGGCTTTGTAGTGGAGAGAGCTGACTCATACCAAAAGGGCTTGCCTGGCAATTTGGCTTGAAATTTGA